AAATTTAATATACTTTTTAATATTTTTACATATTTTTAAGACACTTTATACCCACGTTCTAACATTAAATAATACATAAAGGGCTTGTTAGCATTAATTAAAAAAATTAAATGTCATATTAATCTTTTCACTTATAAAAAAATGGAAGAAGCTTCACTTTGGTTCAAATCTTATTGGAGGGTGTTGTTAGGCCTTTGTTAGCCCATCACAAAGCCCATATCAATGATTCAAATCATTTAATGTGTAAGACTCGTTGAGTACTTCATCCCTACAAAAAATTATATTGATCGGATATTGATAGTCACTTGATTAGATAATATTTGTGTTAACGGTAAACATGATTTCAAAAATAAATTATTGACACAAATGTGATCTGATAAGTAGTTATTAATATCCGATCAATGTAATTTTTTTCAAAGATGAAGTACTCGACGAGTCTTACACATTGAACGGTTTAGATCATCAATATAGGCTTTCTGGTAGGCCCTTTCTTTACCTCATCCTCAGTAGTCGTCAATGCCTTCCCCACTCACTCTCAACTCCTTTCTCCATCGCTATCATTGTCACTACTACAAAGGCATATTGTGCGTGATATGAGAGAGAGAGAGAGAGAGAGAGAGAGAGAGAGAGAGAGAGATAAGAAGAGTGAGATCACGATTATGATATGGTTCAAGGAGGAGGAGGGTTGGCTGCTGTTTGGTTTTTGTGGATAATGATTTGCAGATTTAAAAGAGAGAGAAAGAGAGAAAAAGAGAAGAGAAAAGTTGAGGTAAAGGGTTAGGAAAGTAGATCATGGTGAACAAAGTGACACACTTACTAGACTCGCCAAGACGCAAGTCAAACTCGCTAGCATCTCCCGAAATATCCCATTCTCGATTGGCAATACTTGCTATACTACTCACGGACTTCCTACTCAAAGCATTGGCCACCACATTGGCCTTCCCTGGGTGGTAATACAATTCAAAGTCATAATCTTTTATAAACTCCATCTACCACATATGACGCAAATTTAAATATGAGAATAAGTATTTCATACTTTTGTGATCGGAGAACACCTCAAATTTCTCACTATACAAATAATGTCCCAAAATCTTTAATGCAAAAATTACCACTGCTAACTCTAAATCATGGGTTTGGATAGTTTTTCTTAGTGAGTTTTCAATTGGCATGAGCCATAAGTCACATCCTTTTCTTCTTGCATCAATACACAACCTAGCCTACTCTAAGATCCATCACATATGCTATAAACTCCAAACCCCTGTCCAGAATAATCAAAACTATTGTGGTGATCAATCTCATCTTAAGTTTTTAAAAGGATCTCTCACAAGCCTCACTCCACACAAATTTTATCCACTTCCTCGTCAATTTAGTCAAAGGTGTAGCTAAAGGTGCAGCTAGTCTCAAAAAGTCTTTCATAAAGCGCTGATAATAATCAGCTAAACCCAAGAAATTCTGAATCTTAAATGCATTCTTAGGTTATTCCTAATCTTGCATGGTATCTATCTTACAAGAATCAACCGTCACCCAGTTTCTTACCATAACGTGGCCTAGAAATTTCACTTCTGAAACCAAAACTTGAACTTCTCGTAGTTAGCATATTATTGGTGCTCCTTAAGCAATTAAAGCACTATTCGAAGGTGTCCCTCGTGTTCATCCTCAAAGGTGAGTAAATCAAGATTTCGTCTACAAAATTGACCATGAATCTATCTAAGTACTCCCGAAAGATTTGATTCATCACTTCTATAAAGGAAGCTGGTGCATTTGTCAACTTAAATCGCATGACTGGGAACTCGTAGTAGTCATAACGCGTACGAAAGGTCGTTTATTGAATATCCTCCTCATTCACTTGTAACTGATGGTATCCCGATCTCAAATCTATCTTTGAAAGACAACGACATCCCTTAAGTTGGTCAAACAAATCATTTATCTTGAGCAACAGGTATTTGTTCTTAATGGTGACCCTATTCAACTTACGATAATCAATGCACAACTGTAATGAACCATCTTTCTTCTTAGCAAGAGAGCTGGAGCTCCCTAAGGTGATGTGTTAGGGTGAATAAAACTTTTATTTGATAATTCTTGGAGTTACACCTTTGTAACGCCCCCAAATAATTAACATAAGAAAACTCAAAAGTACTCCAACAACATAATCTTGTTTCCAACTTAATAACTTCCATTTCATAAATGCATACAAGTTATAATGTCTCATTATTACCATCATTATCAAATCTCTAACATTTGTATTCATTATACTCTAGAGATTAACAAAAGTATTTCACATGCAATTATACATTAAACATTTCTTAGAATATTAATCTATAGCATGTGGCACAAGAAGTCGAATTCAATTTAATGCCTTCATTGGCTATAAGTTCCAAGGCTTAAGCCTGGTTACACAAAATGGTTATTGAAACTCATGCATGTAAAGCCCTCGACTTGTCAAAATAACAACAAAAGAAAAGAGCCACGTGTCCTCAAAATATACTCCACACCTTTAACTCGGCAGAATCACCACATCTTTTCCTGCACAAAATCCACTAAGGTGAGCACAAAGCCCAGTAAGAAGATCTTAACAAAGTATATACATGTTATACAGTCTTCTAAGATGAATGCATATGCTATGTTATGCTCAAAATATATCTCTTTATTTTTTGGAAATCTTGTGCATGATACAAATTTGAAAACACAACCATTCAATAACTTCAATATAATTGAAAGGATGATAAATACGACTTAGGTAATCCTTAGGTTGGTGTCTGCAAGTAGGCATATCAAGCACTGCCAATCGCTATTTTACTGATTTCTAACCGAAAGGCATACAGTACCTCATCTGCGCGTATTTTCGGCCTTTCACCATGGACACTTAGGCCAACTTAACCAATACCAAACTACACCCCTATCCGGACTTACCAATGTATTTATCCTAAAACAATTCAAGATGATCTTATATCACAAATCAATTCCTTTCTCAAAGCAACAATTTTCAAATGCAATTCGAAATCAATGATAATGAAAATGAAATGGAATGGCAATGCAACATGTAACAATGCACTATAATAGTTTTATTTTCAATTCCACCACATAATCTTTCATTGTGATCAAATTCACACATCTTTTCTCAATGTAATATCATAATATATTTTCCGAGAGATAAATAACAATATCGTCATACATGCATTATCCACAAGTTAATCATCATTTTCAAATTTGATCTTTTCAAGACAAACCAATAATATGCTATTCATCAAGCTTCAAAATCAATCATTTCTCATTTTTTCATGGAACCCCTCATTAGATACAAATATAGAAATCCCTCCATTAATTATTTACCATAATAATTTATCAAGCATGAATGTCACGACCTAAACCCAATATCCAAAGGTTTGGCGTCGCAACAAGACAAAAAAAATAAAATAATTCTAAAATTTCTATATTAGTAGCACAAGTAGATAAATTAAGTAAATTGAAATAAAATGAATGGGTACCTGTAGACACCCCATTTTTGACCGCCCTTAAGACTTGGGGGCCTCAGGTTGACGAAGGCAGGACGAAGGCTATGTTGTGCAAAGGTTTGATTTCTTCAGTAAGGAGAGCGTCAAATCCCAACCTCACAACCCCTTTTTGGACCATAGATTTTTGACCAAAATGATTTTTAGATCTTAAAACCCTCTCTTTCAAAATATTTTTGAAAATGCTTCTACGATGTTTCGAAGCTCGCATTTCGTTAAATGTTGCGCTTTTAGGTAAACCGAGCAAGGACAAAGTGGAAATAAATGAAAGAGAGGTGAACTCTTTCAAAAATATTTCAAAACACCTTATTTAGAGGTTTGGATTTGAAGAAAAGAGGAGAGGAGGGAAGAAAACTAGTTTGAGAGAAGATAGGCATGAATTCGGTTAGGACTGAAACTGAGCAGTCTTCACTAAAATAAGGATATTTTTTTTACACCTGGAATTTTGATGTGAGGATTCCACCATTGGAAATAAGACTTTTGGGGCTTCAATTTAGACTCAAGAATGACCTGCAAAGGAGTCTAGATGAAGGAGATATGCCTGTTTGAAGTCGGGACCAAAAACCAGTTTTTGCTTGTCGGCCACCAGTGAAGCTTGTCGGCCAAGTGTCGGCCAGAGGTGCATTTT